ATACAAACACATGGGATTCAAAGAAAATGCCCATTATTTCAAATAGAATTTTTGATATCAATGGTAACTTTTATGATCCAATGAAAGTTTTGAATAGAGACTTACATTTAAATGAAACTGCCTATCAAATATACGGTAATATTTCATATTATGTTTGTATAAATAATAAACCAAATCTTTGTAGGTGGAATACGAATGACTGCAGCTTATGCTGTTAGATATAGTTTTCTCCTCGCTGGTTTTTCAGCATATATTGTGCATACAATACTTTACCATGGTTTGTTGTTTTTGTTCTGTTTAGCTTGCTGAATTCATTTAATGACATATCTACTTGAATACTTCTCTAAGCGTAGTAAATGGGTAATTTCCGAAATCGAAGTAAGGTGTCAACGATGCAAAGTTTGAATATACTCGAATTTGGTTTTATTCATATAAGATAAAAGAGAGTCTTATTTATTGATTACAAATGCATGGGTTTTGAACTTTTCTATCATCTTCCAAGAGAACTTATTCGAAAACATTGGAAGAGGATTCCTATTTTAGTCGAGCAAGTTTTCTTTTTTTATAAAGTATATGTGAATCAATTGAGTTTTTAACCTGATTCCGAATAGGACGTTCATTTTGCTCTTTTTTGATAGTTTGGTGGTCAAAAGGTTAAATTGGTGTTTTTTTTATCGAGGATGTTCCCATTTATTTCGAAGCTTTGCATTTTATCACTAATTAGAGAGTGACTTTTAAAACTAAATAGGTACTGTTAAACTATATGATGTATTATACAACTTTCTAGGAAACTAGATGAATTTCCAAAAAATTAAATGATACTAAAAAAAACGAAAAAAAAAACTTGTCTGCAAACCAATAAAGTCTTCATCAATGAATATCGATTGATAGGCTAACACTTGTACAAATCATCACTCTCGATGTGTATGCTGCGAAAGGAGGCAAGACGCTTCTCTGACTTTCAGTCCGTTGTGCCTCTTCCCTAACACAGCTTAATAAAATATGTTTCTCAGAAATCAATAAAACGCATCGAATCTCTTAAAGGTCATTTTCGAGATGCCCTAATGAAGTAAAACACTTGGCTCTATCTCTCCTTACTAAAAAAAGATGTGGGCTACATATTTGTGAGCAACCCACTCAAGTTTATTGAACCATGTATGAATAAAATCAAACGTCGTTTCCACTCGACTTTGTCATGGGTAATACGTTACGTTAATATGACCTCTAAGCATTCAGCAGAGTGTTTTGGACAAATTTCAAATCATAATTTAGACCAAATAATTACTTTGCCATTTTGTATATAGATTTCAGCTTACCATTTTAGTTTCAAGAGATTTTATGTAATGTCTAGATCTATTGATAATGCGGCTTTCGTTGAAAATTAATACGATTTCATAATGATAAGTCAATAGTCTTTTAAATATTGAAATACGTAGATGCATGAGCAGTATCTTCAAGTATTGAAAAGAATAACACGTAAAATGCAATACAATCTTTGACAAGTAATAAAACGGTGAACTAGTATATGCTGAGTCTATACGCTCAATATCAGATCTATCTTTGCTTCTGACATGGTTCAATTCGGTTCTCTATTCCTAAATAAGTGAGTAGATTAGAGAAGGACCAAAACTAATTATCTGAAATAAAGACGAGAGCGATCAAAATATCAGTAGCCACTAGACTGATTGACAGAAGATCTATATTAGTTAGATTCCATATTTGAGATGAAACAAAATGGCACTTTCCTTATAAAAAAAAAGAAACAGTATGCTTTTATATGAGTAAGTTATCCTTAAAAATATTCTATATTGAACTAAATAATTGTAGGTAAATTCATTGTCGAACAATTTCGTATGACTTTATCTGATAAAAAAAATGATATTCATGCTAAACTTATGTCTCATTATCCAGAAGATTTCGAATGGTGGTAAGCAATTTTTCATATACCTTTGTTAATGATTGTTTCTACCTTATTTAGGTATTACATAATACTTTTTGTTTCCTTTGTTCTTGGTTTAATTTATTGTTATAGTAGTTCATTACTACCAGGATATATTATGATTGGTATGTTAATCATTGTTCTTATTATCATCGCATTTAGTTTAAGTTTTTAGCTGCGATTATTGTAAATTTTATTATGATGATACCAACAGGTGTTATAGTAGCAGTTACCAATACGATATTTGGTTAGGTTTATGCAAAAATGTTAACGTTTTCAATCTTCAATTTTGTCTTTTGTGTTTTAAAGTTCTAGGTGTTCCTATTGATGTTCTTAGTAGTGTAATATTACCTGGTAATCCTATTGGTTTCTTAACTCTTCGAGCATATACGTTTTCATGTCAATATCAAATTATACATGTCTTAATTAGTTTTAAAATTGCTCATTATATGAAGGTAAAAATAGTCTTGCTTAAAAACTTTATTTAAATTCAAGCGTAGATTCCACCTCGTATCACATTTTCTATGTTACTGATATGTCCAATAATTGCTACTATAGTACATTATATAACAGCAATATATCTTCTTGATCATGTACCAAATATTTGTACACATGAAAATCCATCATGGAAGTGTCTCTATATAGAAAGTATTTACACATCATCGATTATATGGGGTGTGATCGGTAAAGGAAAGGAAATAGTCTCCTTATTATAATTCAATTGTAATACTTTTCAGGTTTTGTGAAGACATTTAGTGTAGGTTCAATATATTCTCCATTACTTTTTGGATTACTTGTTGGTCTAGTTTTACCTATTATAAGTTGGTTTTTATGGAAAAAGTTTCCAAATATCAAATGGTTAGCATTCATTCATTTTCCGATGATTCTGGTAGCAGCAAGTAATGTTCCACCAGCACCAGCTGGTGAATATACAACATGGTTTTTAGTGGGTTTTATTTTTAATTTAATTTTATATCGTTATGCACATGCATGGTGGGAAAAATATGCATATGTGTTTTCAGCTGCAATGAGTTGTGGTGTAGCAATATGTGGATTTATTATATTTATTACATTGCAAAATAACAATATAGAATTTCCTAAATGGTGGGGAACTGGTGGACCGATGGGAGATGGTTGTCCCTTAGGAATTGCAAACTACTCGGGTTTTGTATTGACTGATTAAGAATTGTAATTTGTTTGTTTTGAAATTGGAAAAAAAATCAACAATGACTATCAACGTTATTCAATCATTTTTGTTTTTTTTTAATTGTCTTCATAGAGATCTTCATCAGAGCGTGGTATCCTGATGCTTGGTTTTGTTCTGCTATGGTTTGCTGCATAGAGAATATATTTGAGCTCGTCTACTAAATGCAAACATGAATCTTTCAGTGCATACGTCTTCGATGTAATGTCAGCCGCTAGCGATGAGTTCATGTTCTTGACTGCTTTCATTAGAACTTATGTACGTGATAATCATTTTAATTCATCATCGTTCAATACAAGCTCTTGTGATTTCGAGAAGGTTCATCACCTTCTATCAAAATATTGGCACGTCTAGCTAATAATAAAAGAAATGAATCTCGACCTGTTAATCAAGAGTAATGAAATACTTCGACTCAGTTACATGATGATACTCAGTCATCAATAATTCCTGTTTTCATTGACGAACATTTTATTTTTGTATGAATATGCTACTAGTGTCATATATTCATGCTAAAAAAAGGCAAGATATTGCATTAAATCTCTGGTCCCGTCGATACATTTGATGGAATTGGTTAATGATCCGAATAATTATATAGCCTGTTTCTTACTCCATCTGAATATATGCTGTTAACATAACACTCAAGCAGTTAAATGCATTCAACAATTTGAGTGATAAAAATCAATTGATTACAAGCTAGTACAACATGATCAGCGAAAAAAAGTCTGAAATATTTAAAATTCAAGGAAGTATAAAAATGAAAGGAAAAATAGGTTTATTATAGAGGGCAAAGTAGTAAATATCGTTGTGCTTAACTAAATAAAATTGAAAATATATATCTCAATGTATTCAAGCTTCATTCTTTTCGTTTCTTGTATAATTACAGCATAAGACTCTGTCAATCACTTAGTCAGAGAGAAAGCTGTTTATTAGTAGAAAAATATCCAGATTTTCTCAAAATATCAAATTCAAAGCTGCAAAGTGAACACCAATCATTATCAAATAGTATTATTTGTATTTAACAAGTATTTTTACGAAAAAATAAATGAATCTTGTTCATCAAATACTCCAACAAAATCCAATTATTTATGAAATACAATTTACTATATCATTAACCAGAGTATAATTGTGCAACAGACATATCCTTTTTAATAGATAATCATAAACATAAATGATCAATAGAATACTTCTGAAAATGTATAAATGATGTAAGGATTATTTGAAATCATATATTATAGTATTCTTTTCGTAAAATGGAACAATATAACGAAGATTCATGTTCCACAAATATGAAATTATTAGGATCAGCCAGCCTCTCGGTCAAATTAAATAAGCGAAAGAACTCAGGAAGTGACTGATCGATAGTTAGAATTTATCAAAAGACAAAAAAATAAAAATTTCTATGGAAAGTAGAATGTTAACACAATATCCAAAGTTCTTAGAATATGAACGATGATTGGTTACACAGGGTGACACACAAACAGTGCCATTCAAAGTTTCTTTTTCGTACGAATAAAGTAGGTGGCTACTACTGTTAAGCCTTATTATTATGTGTATCATGAAAGTTGTTTTACCTGTTGTCAAGTAAAAAAGAGTACATGCGTAGATTTTTCTAGGTAATTTTCAGTTGTCACCTAAGAGAATAATAACAACAAGTCAAAACGAATTTTTACGAATGATTTTTTATTGATACACATAGAGCAAATTTTCAAAACTAGTTAATTTAAAAGTCAACGGTTCCAAAATTTCGAATTTTCAAATGTGAAGCACCAGGTTTTTGCAAGAAAGGTGATGTTTTGGTATTCAGAGGGCTTCAATTATGTGTTTTATTTAGGAGATATGAATTTCAATATTTAAACTGAGTCATTTTGAAAACTTGCTCTGTGCACGTCAATAAAGAATTATTCATAAAGTTTGTTTTTTTACTTTTTCTTATTATTCTCTTAAATGACAACTAAAAGTTATCTATAGAACGCTGCACATGTGTTTTGTTTTTCATTTGATAACGAGTCAAATTGCTTTCATGACATCAACAATAATACTTAACAGTAGTATTTGCTTACTTCATTTTTATGAAAAAAACACTTTGAATGCTCTTTATGATTTAAACGAACCAAAAACCATCGACATACTGTTAGTATACCGATTGTTATAATGTGTGATACATAGTCTATTTGTTGGAAAGTGATATTTCATAGTGCATTGCATCAGAACGGGTGAATACTTTTGAAGTCTGTTAACACTGACAGAACTGAGCCGATTCTGATGCACACTAATACTATTGATGCGTCTGGATCGCTTGTACGAGCCATAGAGTCCAAATCGGTCCTAGTTCTAAGGTGAATTTTTGATGGCAGATGGCAATGCAAAAGCTTTTACTAGTAAAATATATTCTAAAGCTGTTTTCTTTTCATAATAGATTTGGATAGAAAACTGCCTATAGTCGTTTATAGTTGAAGTCGAAAGCCTTAGGCGCTACTACTGATTGTCACGAGTACTGCAATATGTCATGATGCCAGAATAATTTTCATACTTCCGAATCAGCTACAAGAGATATATGTCTTATTTTATTCATTTTTGAGGAAATATTAGGAATATCAAAAAATCAAACATCTACCATAATTCTGATCGGCATTTGTTAAAAACCATTCAGTGACTTATGGTCATCTAGGCTATTCCTGACTCAATGAAACGCTCAATTAACTCGATATTAAATTTGAATGAACTAGCTGTATATCGAAAAATAGACAGAAAAAAAATATATTTTTTTGTCAAATTTTGAACGTTCGATATGTTTTCAAAATGAAAATCTACTTGTTATTATTTTCTTTTTTGATACTTCAAACTGCTATTTGAAAATAATAATGTCAGTTGTTATCTTCCTGTAGACATTTTTATTCGTGCAAAAAATGGTGTGATGAATGATAACATACATTTATCATTGTCATATATCTATGGTTCTCATCCAAAAATAGAATATAACAGATAATATTTTTTCATTGATTCAAACAAAAAGAAAGTATTTTATGATTGAAAAGAAAGACAGTTTTCAGCTAATTTTATTTGTATGATTTATTAAAGAGCCTAGATAACAAATGTATTAACTATGTACTCTAGCAGCACATTGAATACTATTTTCAGTCATTTTTAAGCACACAAATGACTCTTGTTTTCTTTAGATATCAATTTATTGACTCTTTTAATGACGATAATTACTGATATTTTTCTTAATACAAGTATATGGACTGTAATACTTATTATTTTTCCTATCTTATATTACATTTATTATCGTAAATTTCGTATATTTATATATGATCAACCGGAAAAAGTTACGAAAGGCAAGGTAATTCGAGGCAAATGTCCACCTTCGTATCCAAATGGTAAATTCATGTCATCGTTTTAGTTTTAGTTGTTAAAAAGTCATTTATCTTTATTTTAGGATGGTTTTGGTTGATAGATTCATGTCATCTTGCTCGAGGTGATGTTAAATTTATTCAACATTGTGGACGTGATGTTGTTCTTTTTCGTGGACATGATGGAAAACCTTACGTTCTCGAAGCCTATTGTTCTCATATGGGAGCAAATTTGGGAACTGGCGGTAAAGTTCGAGATATTAATTGTATTGAATGTCCATTTCATGGATGGACATTCGATGGTGAAACAGGTACATGTGTTTTTTCATATGATCAACGTAAAATTCCTCGAAAAGTTGATACATTTCAATATATTGATGTTGAAAGATGTACACCGCATATCTCTAATGATCAACAACCATCTATTTATTTACAAAGAATAGCCGAAAATCAAGAAACAAAACTTAGAAAATATGAATGCCGTGAAATCAATGGATCTATTTTTGCTTGGTATCATGCAATTGAAGAACTAAGAAATAAACCACTTTATGAATTATTTGATATTAAAAATGAAATAAGTAGAAATAATATGGAAGGTAAAAGAAAAAAAAATGAAAGGAAATGTATTGATTGTTTTTGTTTTAATTTTTTGTTTTCTTTTTTTTAAGTTCGTGGTGAATCTATTAATTATGTCAATTGTCATATTCAAGAAATACCTGAAAATGGTATGATTATTATTTCATAAGGTATTTTCTATTTTTGATAATATTTATTTAGGTAGTGATATTCGTCATTTTGATTTTTTACATGACTCTATTCTTGATTCAATATCATTTATTAAATTTAAATGGTCACTCTTAGCTGAATGTGCATCAACTCCAAATATACGTGAAATAATGACACATTCAAATTCAACAGCAAATGCTTATAAAATGCATCTATTTGATAGATTTTTAAAGAAAGATAATCTTGATCATATTAATGTTATGTCACTTGATTGTTCATTAAGTTTTTTTAATAAATATGAAATGTTTCTTTTTAATACAACTGGTTTTCAAATGGGTCCATCCATTGTTTATCTTTTTATTTGGTCACCTTATTTTAAATTAGCATTCTTTCATACATTAACACCATTAGAAAAATTTCATCAACGTGTTGTACATCGTATTATAACTTCAAAATGGATGCCTTATTGGTTATCAGCTCTTTTACTTATGGGAGAAGTTAAACAACTTTATTCTGATATGAAAGTTTGGAATCATAAAATTTTTAGTGAAAAACTTAATTATAATATACAAAATTATACAGATAAATGTCTGCATACATATAGAAATTGGTATGCACAATTTTATGATGGTTGTTATGAACGTGAAGCAAAATCACTTTTTTGGTAGATAATTTATTTTTCTAAATAAACTTTTGCAAAATAAAAAATAATTATTTACATACCTAGTTTATCTTAGGAAACACAGTTTTAAATTAATAAATAAATATTGTATAAAGCATCTGGAAATTTCGTGTAACTTTCCTCTTACTA